CATCTGCTGCCAACCACTGTCTGTCTTCTGTGTTATCGAGAAACACCCCTTTCTAGAATGAACGAACAACAACGAAGACAAAACTCTGCTTTTCTTGGAGGTGTAGGACAGAGTTCTACAGATGGCAGCGTGCACTGTTTGTTCGCTTCAGTAAGCAGATGCCACACCGAGTGGCCTTACTAGTCAAACGTAGAAGCTTTCACTTTGTTGTTGACGCAATCAAACCTTCACGCAAGTTTTTGTGTAGTTTGGCAATGGCTCGACCCAACGGTTTTCTTTCTTATCAACAACTCACGTCGATGTGCATCCTACTCATCCTCATAACATTAACCTCAGTCTTGGAAGCGACGAAAGCATAGCTGTGACTGCCCCAAAACTGAGCCACCAAACCCCTGAGGGAACCAAACCGCAACCCCTTACTTGAGAAGCAAGACCGCTACCAACTGCGCTACCGAAGCTCACCTCAGGTGCCTCGGTTCTCCTTTCGATACTTTTATAATGCAGCTAACATGTGATTGCAGGCAAGACACTGAAAATCAAGGGCGGCAACAAAAACCCTCCGTAACTCCTTTCAGAGAAGAGTTTAGCAGATAATGAAAGCAGATCTGACCAGGAAGGTCTTTCAGGGCGTGACAAGCTTTTTGAAAACGGTCTTTTGCATGATATAGGGGCAGATGCGGGAACCACAGAACCATGTTCAATTTTTCCTGAACGGCCCTCTGAATACCAGAAAAGGAGGTCCCTAGTTCGATTCCTCGTGGTAACAAATTTTTGCATTTCGAGTTGACGTGCCAAAATTCGCGCAAAATGGAGTTAGAACCAACCAGAACAATCAGAACTCCATTTTGCGCGAATTTTGGAACGTCAACTCGAAATGCAAAAATTTGTCACCAAGAGGAATCGAACTAGGGACCCCCTTTTCTGGTATTCAGAGGGCCGTTCAGGAAAAATTAAACATGGTTCTGTGGTCCCCGCATCTGCCCCTATATCATGCAAAAGACCGTTTTCAAAAAGCTCGTCACGCCCTGAAAGACCTTCCTGGTGAGCTCAGCGTCTCAGGTTGCGTACAGAAATGTGCACCTCATTTCATTTGGGTTGGCCTAATGAACTTTCTTGGTGAGATCGAAATTGAGGCGTAATGTTACAACATAGCATTCCTGCTTGTTAAGGCATTGGTGACAAGCGTTGCGCACGCATTTACACAAAATTTCTTTAAGGTCTCATCAAGTATCAGCATCGTACAAAAGACATTTGAGTAACGCTGTGCTTGGGAGGAGACTCGACTCAACCACTCAGTTTATTCGACACTCAACAATGAATCATACAGCCGGAGCGCGGATCTTATATAGCTGCCTCAGGGGGCGGGACCGGAAGTAGGCGTGAACCTCGCTGTGATTGGCCGGTTCTCCCTTACAGGCGTTAACGTGATCACACTGACGACGGCTCCGGAGTATCGATCGGCTAAGGCTATAGCGGTTGAAATGGATTGTACTAAACAATAAACTTTTACACAATCAACAGCAACAAACAGACATAGACACTTGTCTAGGATAACATGCCCGGCGGTGAAGAAGAGTCGTCCCGACTCTCCACTTCATCGGTGCCATCCACGGGAAGAGCTCGGCTGCTGGGTTCTATCCTTTCCAAATTTCCGATCACTCCTGGGCGGATACGCATGCGATTGTCCTCTGTACTGCAAACTCGTTCTCCTCCGCTTTGGGTCCTCGCTCGACTCCCTTGTATCTGATCCACGGGTGGCTGGTCCACGGAATGAGATGTTGAGATGATGGCGGGCACGCTCTGGATCTGCGATGACGTAGAAGTTCGGTTTGAATTCGTCCCTGCGCCTCTTCGCTCGTGCAGCTTTCTCCGCTCGGCGCGCTTCCTTCAGCTCGTTTGAAGGCGGCCTTTGAACTCTCGCAGTCTCAGGATATCAGCTATCGTGACGCGCAGCTTCTCCAAGAACAGTACAATTTGTCTGCCATTGAACGGTGATCGCTTGAATCTTGGGTCTGTCCCAAGGCACATTGCGGGATGAGTATACGGTGCCGACTCCAAAACTTCGGTGTAGTGATCCCGGACGATGGCTTCAAAACCTCGGTCGGCAGTCGTCATAAAGCGTACGAACTCGGAACATACTCGTCCCATTTTAGACCATTCCGTCACATTACTGTCCTCATAGGGACTGGGGAAGAATAGCAGCGTCCCGCCTGGCTGCAGGTGGCGCTCCAGCGCTATAAGGACCTGCCTCATCGATCTTCCCGACGGCATTATATCTGGCCATACGAGTATAATTGCTGTGACGATGTTGACCTCCAGCAATTTCTGGGCCAGCAACTCCCAGTCCTGATAGACGTACACGATCATCTCGCTGCCGTAGTCCACTTCGGTGTGGACTCTTCCAAAAGACGACGGCAGGGCTAAAAAAACATGCTGGGGGGCCACGGTCGAGGAGCCAGGAACGTTGATGTGTTTTTAGCATCGCCAATGCAGTGGTGATGTGGGCACCGACATCATATTTCACGGCCCACGGAAACAAAGCGGGATGCTCGAAGCGCATCCCCTGCGCGGCTTCAATGGCTTCCGAGTAGATGTGGCATCTTCGTCGATGGGCTTGCATCGCTAACGCCAGCCCGTATGGCGACAAGAATTGGGAGTTTTTCATACGCAACTCCTCCTCCTTACGCTCGTCTCCCCAGCACTCCTCTTCTGAAATCGACGCCACGTTGGCTAATTGAAACATGTCCGACACCCTTTTTGAACGAGCCATCGGGTGCTTGAGAGTCGGAATGGCCACGTGCGCCATCTGGTCGAACAGTCCACATTCACATTTACGACGCAAATTCAGCGGGTGATCGATGGAGATCAGCGTCCTGAAACATATAACTTTCTCAGACACAGTAACAGCATCGGTACCTTTTTTTGGTCTTCCCCTCTTTCTGCGGGTTGTCGCCGTCCTAAGGGGCTCATTCGTGACTCCGGGTGGTAACTTCACCAGCATATCAAAAGGTACCCTCACTGCGTCTCTGTCCCCTTCAATCATGGTTATTAGGGCACTATTCTCGCTCGCATCTAGTACGCGATACGGCCCTTCCCATGGGTTCACTAACTTGGGGTTGTGAGATGACTGTTTCTCCCTGGGAGCCTTCAGGTACACCCTATCGCCGACTTTCGGTGTCCTCGTGCATACACCCTTGTCGCGGTCGTATGCGATTTTCATCTTTCGACGCATTTTATCATTCTCTTCCCGGGCATAGTCCCGAGCAATCTTGGTGGCTACCGCAACTTCCTGTGCGTAGCTCTCCAGATCCACTACATAGGTGCTAAGCTCACGATTGGGCACTGTGCTCCACGGTGTATACGGATCAAATCCGTGCAGCAGGTAAAAAGGTGACTCTCCCGTCGAATCATGCACCGTTGTGTTATAGGCAAACACACAGAATGGAGAGGACCTTATCCCACTCTGTGGGTACGGCCACCTTCTTCCTCAACATTTGTATGAGTGTCTGGTTGAACCTTTCGGTTAAGCCATTCTCGCGAGGATTGTAGCCTTTCGTGAAAACATGCTCAATCCCCATGATTGACCTGAGCTCTTGCATGAGTCGATTGTCAAACTCTCCTCCCTGATCAGATAAGATACATTTCGGCTGCCGTCCGCCCTCAGCGATCCACCTTTCAAACAACGTTCGAGCCACAATTGCCGCAGCTTTCGAGGGAATGGCATATGCGCCACCAAATTTTGAAAAGTGATCAATTACGCTGAGAATGTATCGGTTTCCGTCCGTCGTCAATCCCATCTCCAGGATGTCAATGCCGACCAGCTCGTAAGGCTTTGTTGTAACAATAGGCTTCAACCCTGGCGTCATTGGATGACGATGATTATGACAGAGACACTCTCGACAATCTTGTGACCATTGGGCAATATCCCTTTTCATGGTTTCCCAGAACAGGTCTTTTGATAGCTGCCTCACAAGCTTCTTTGGACCGAAGTGGCCAGCTAGTGAGCCCGCGTGTGCTTCTTCGAAGATGGCTCTCCTCTTAGATTTTGGGACCACCCGACGAAGAGCATCGTTCTCCAGCAAAGCAAGATACCCTTGGTCAAAGACAAAGTCCGCTACTTTGAACTTTTGGGAAAGTCCTGGGATTGAAACATTGATGTCAAGATTTCCCTTTTCCAGGTTCTCTATCACCTCCGCATAGAAAGGATCTTTCCGGAGCTCAATTGTCCACTCAGGCTCTTCTGCCATTGATGCTACAATGAGCTCGTTTGGGATGGGTTCCGTTTTTCCCTCCTCATCCGATGGGGCTGCACCTCGGCTCAGCGCATCCGCGACACGATTCGCAGCACCTTTGAGGTAGATGATCTTCAAGTTGTACTTCTGAAGTTCAAGCGCCCATCGGAGCACTCTCGCAGAAACGTTGGTTCGCTTGAAAAGCGCGGTTAGAGCTTGGTGGTCCGTGTATACACTTCAACTGGAAGTCCGTACACAAACATATGGAACTTTCGTAAGGCGAAAACAACCGCCAATGCTTCCAAATCGGTCACGTGGTAGTTCTTTTCGCACCGAGACAAGCCTTTCGACGCGAAGAACACTGGATGTAGGAATCCATCTTCTCCCTCCTGACTCAAAACAGCACCAAGTCCTTGAGTACTGGCGTCGGTGTGAATTTTGAAAGGCTTACTTCCGCTCCTAGCTCCTTCAATATCTGGCTGCGCCAGCACTGGCGCCTGTGCAATTACAGACTTAAGCTTGTCAAAGCATGACTCCTTTGTAGAAGTCCCACTTGAATGGCACCTTTTCGGACGTCATCTCATGTAGCGGTCCGGCTACTCTTGAGAATCCCAGAACAAACTTTCGGTAATATGAACACATACCGAGGAACGTCCGGAGGTCTGACCGAGACTGCGGCAGCGGGTATTTCATGATCGCTTCGACCTTGGCTGGATCCATGTGCAACCCGCTATGGTCAATCACGTGGCCGAGGAACTCAACTTTCCTCTCCAACAAAACGCACTTCTTTGGATTTAATTTGAGTCGTGCTTTCGACAATTCTTGAAAAACTCGTTCCAAGACTCTTAGATGCTGCTCCACTGTTCCGGTCGCTACCATTATGTCATCCAAGTAGCAGAACACTTCTTCTCCTAGCAGAGGACAAAGAACAACATGCATCAGTCGTTGGAAGACGGCTGGCGAGGACGCTAGACCGAATGGCAAAACCCGAAATTGGTATAATCCTTCGGTAGTCGTAAACGCCGACTTTTCCTTGGCATCAGCCGATAAGCTGATCTGCCAGTAGCCTGACGATAAATCTAAGGTGGAAAAGTATCTTTTACCCTTCAGGCTTTGCAAAATCGTGTCAATCGTTGGCAAGGGATAACTGTCAACTCTTGTCACCTGATTGAGCTTCCGATAATCCACGCATAATCTGAGAGTTCCGTCCTTCTTCTGCACCAACACGATGGGCGAAGCCCAACTCGATTTACTTGGCTCGATGATCCTTCGTTCTTGCAGATCATGCAAAATGCGTCGTAGCTCCACTCGCGTGCCTAGTGGCACCGGACGGGCTTTCTGCCTAATGGGCATTGCATCACCGGTCTCAATACTGTGTTCCACTAGCGTTGTTTGAGTGAGCTCTTGTTCACTTACTGCAAAAGCATGAGCGTAATGCCTGACAAGCTTCTCCAGTGCTTCATTGCACTCCTCACTTGTCCTGTTACTTTGCAGTAACCTGAGCAATTTTTCTTCACGATCTCCAGTTACCTCCACGGTGCGCTGCAACATGTCTCCGGAGTATTTGACAGGCTGCACTTCCACAACTTCGGTAGGCTCGAAGGTTCCCACCTCCTCCCCTACTCGGAAAATCTTTGCTCCTGCAAAGGTATTTGTTATGGGTAGTATTGCTGCCTGATTTCCACCTTTCCATATGACATCTGGAAGCAGGTGCTCCTTAGACCAGAAGATACCCTCCTGCGTTGGGCCATCGCACCGAATACGTAACGATTTCGTCTCACCCGGGCGTAGGTATACTCTTTTGGCAATTGTGACTGGGAGGCAATCATTAGAAGATTCCTTCTGCCGTTTCTTGGTCCCCTCACTTACTTTACGGGGCTTCTTTACGACAGTGTAAAATCGTGTCGGAGTTGTTTGGTTCTGGTGATTGAGGCCATAACCAAGTTTCTGAAGTGCATTTGTTCCGAGAACAATCATGCCATCTCCTCCAGACATGACAAACAGAGCGATACGCTCCTTCCTTCCGCTGTCAATTTGCAGGGTTAGCCTGATGGCTCCCTTGAAGGACATTTTGTTGCCCGACGCATCGAATACCTGCTTCTTCTGTTCCAGTGGTATTTCTTCCACATCAGCGTCCAAGTCAAAACCTGACTCCCAAGCTGTTTGGAGCATTCGCAGTGGTATGATGCTGATTTGGGAACCCGTGTCCAACAAGGCTTTCCTTGACATTCCAAGGAGATGAACTTCTGTTACTGTTTGTTCTCCTACAAGTTCGCTCTTATCCGCAGCCTCCACTGCACCACAGATCCACTTCTTCAGGGATGCAGTGAATATTCTCGCTGTCCCTGCTTGTTGATTAGCGTTTGCGGACTTCTCCTTGGCTGCTTTTTTCGGGAGTGTACAATCCTTTTTCAAATGCCCCTGCTTGTCGCAGTTATAGCATTTCACAAGGGGTTTCCGGTGTTCCCCTTCTGATCGCGCTTCTTTTCCGTCATCTGCGCCTGCTGGTGTTGACGCAGGGTTCTCTGCGTTACTCGCTCTAAACTTTTGACCAGCCATGCGTCTTTTTCGTTCCTCACGACTTCGATTATAACCTGCAGAAGCTTCCCTCATTGCTGTCGCCACTTCTTTACTTCTCTCGCATCTTTGCGCCATGGCTTTGACCATTTCGTAGGCCGCTTCTTTTGGAGCAATTTCCATGGTCGTGTAGAGCTGGAGATATTCGGGGCCAGTCCGTTAACTGGCTCACCAACTCTCCTGCCCTAGTGCGGGACAGTTCTTCTTCTGAAGCGTCAGGGTATGCCTCTCTGGTTACCTTTCCAGTTCCAGACAATACCTTGTTACGTCTCCTGACTTTCTCAAGCGCTTCAGATCCATATACGCTTTCATTTGAATGGACGAACTGTTTACCTCAAACTTCGACCTCATTGCATTGACTAAGTCGTCGAAGTTGCCTTCCCTTATGTGTTTAGGTAGTGCCTTAGCTACTGCCTTTGGGTACCCGTCCAATTTTGAAAGCAGCAAGTGGTTAAGCAGCTTATTCTGGAGCCTTAAGTTCTGGTATTTCATCGAAAACCTCATGATGAAATCCTCGAAACTTCTCCCCTCAGGGTCTTTGTACACCTCTACTTCGGGTAGGGCTATCGATGCAAAGATATGGCCTATTTGGCTCTCTGAACAGGATGACCCACCTGGGCTTCGGAACGTCATCGACGACGATTGGCTCGAGCCCCTGGTCCTCGGCCTGTAGTCGGTCATCTTTTCTGGCTGCAACAGCCTTGGTTCAGATATCTCATGCTTCACTTTGCTAGCTTTACCGTTTTCATAAAGCTTACCTTGAGCAGCAGCGACTGGATCGAAGTTCAGGTGGTACTCGACATGATCGAAGTCGCTTACATTCAGCTGCTCATAGGCTATCTCTGTCGCGTTTCCGCTGCCTCCTGCCTCAGCGTTCTGAAAGCGAAAACCATCAGAATGTTTACTCTGAGATGCCGCTTGTCCAAGTGCGGCTTTATTTTCAACCTTATACGACAGCACATTCCCGTGCTGCTCAGCTCTCTGCTTCACAGTGTCACTCTGCAACGCCCTTGCTTTCAGTACTAATGCGAGCGTCTCGCATACTACCTCTTTGCAAGCGTATGCCTCCTGTTCCAACCCCTTCAACCGCTGCAGCTCCAGCTCTATGAGGTCGCACTCCTCATTTATTCTGGAGCTTACGAGATCCTCTAGCTGCTTAGCGGTTCTAGTTGAAACTCCCTGTGACATCTGTGCAGGACACTCTCGTAGACTTGCCAATCTCATTTCAATGATTTCTGTTGAGGCACGCACCTGTGGCAACTCCTTACTTGCAAGGCTATCAACCTTCTTGGCAAGGTGCTCTAATGCCGTTTTCATGGACGCGAGCTGCTCGTCCGTGGAGTTTTCATCGAGCAATAAGCGCTCCAGCTCATCTGGGTTGATTTCGTGTGTGGACGACATGTTCAGTCTGTAACTGTAAAGGTTTGGTTGCGTTGTTTACTCCTGCACACCAACACCAACACCGAAATCGTTTCAGCTGATTGCTATTCTCTACCCAGACGTCCTTCCCTGATCGATCGATATCGATTGACACGTGAATCCTCTCTCAGCTAGTAGGTACGCCCTGACCACACAGTACAAGCGACGTCACCCAACACGTGAAGAGCAATGACGTCACGTTAACACGTGACTGTCAATGACTCACGACCAGGTGTGACTCACCTGTCAAGTCCTGTTAGCCAGGAGGTACACTGCCTAACTGGGGCAGGATTCACGCCCGAGTCGCTCCGAACCGAACGACCTAAGGGGCGGTATCGATCGATTGCTGAGCGTAGTCTTTAGTTCGGCCCCCAAGTAACGCTGTGCTTGGGAGGAGACTCGACTCAACCACTCAGTTTATTCGACACTCAACAATGAATCATACAGCCGGAGCGCGGATCTTATATAGCTGCCTCAGGGGGCGGGACCGGAAGTAGGCGTGAACCTCGCTGTGATTGGCCGGTTCTCCTTACAGGCGTTAACGTGATCACTGACGACGGCTCCGGAGTATCGATCGGCTAAGGCTATAGCGGTTGAAATGGATTGTACTAAACAATAAACTTTTACACAATCAACAGCAACAAACAGACATAGACACTTGTCTAGGATAACATTAGCTGGTTTCCGGACTCTGATAAGTAAGTGGGCAGTTTGAGACTAACATTTCCATATAACGGAAAACGAGTGTCGCCGTGCGAAAGTGCGGGCCATATATAGCTCGCGCTGTCGTCGATGAGTTGATGATTCAATGTGACTCCTCTATATACAAGCAACACATCTCTACACACAATTCTTTTATTTGGAACTAAAGAGTCCCAGTACAACTCGTATAATAAACTCTACAAGCTAAACATGAAAGCACTAATGCCTTACTTTTAATACATAAACAAAAGACCCGAAAGAGCAGCGATGATTATGATCGAAAATTAATATGAACAGGAGCAATGATTTCGATGAATAGAAAAATTTTTACATACCTATCTGGGTAGCACAGAATCACTAATGGGACTTAGCTAAGCTCAAAACCGGTTTCTGAATGAATTGCGTAGCGAAGTTTCGAGAGTAACACCGATTTCTTGTTGTAGTTCGGCAATTTCAGCAGGTTAAAGCAAGTTGATGCTGAAAAAAGACGAATACTCTATTGTAAATTGTGACCTCGGAGTTAGGCTATCTTTCTAGCGTCTAAGACTTATCAACTGCAAAGCTTGGTAATCCAGCGTTTTGAGTTTAATATGGGCACTCACACAGGCAGACTATTACGGAATTTTCTACTTTCTCTCCCTCCTTCAGAAAGCCAGTCCGCAGAGTCAACCCTGCGTTGCGCAGTTCTCAACGGCCACGTTGCGCAGTTTCGCCCGATTAGACACGTTCTCTCGCGCGAACATTCACACTCGCATGCTCGAGCCGTCTGTGTCTCCGCCCATACAGCGTGCGTTGAGGATCTCTCAACGTGCCGTTGCGAACTGCGCAACGCAGGGTTGACTCTGCCTAGAAATTCTCAAGCACGTGCTTTCCTCCTGGCTCTCACCCTTTGGTGGACAACAGCGCCCGTAACACGGTGAAATCGCCGCTGTTCCAATTTCGAGGATATGACGACCCCTCTCTTAGAGATGATCCTCGATAGGACCCTCCACCACCACCACAGCTTAGGAGAAACCTTTTCAACCTTTTTATTTTCTTCAACCCCAAACACGCCCCCCCCCCCCATGAAAACTGCGCAACGTACGATACCCTGCCCGTAAGCATCTCTGAGGAGTCAAATCGGTGGATTTTGGCAGAATCTTGTCTCTGGACTCTAGATTTGTTACGCAGACACATATACAGACTAACCGAATGGACAACTAGCCCGTAAAGAACTCATCAACTGATTCAGCGATTTTACTTCACTTGTAAGCTACCCTTTGCTTATCAATGAGCTGATTCTATTCCAACCCTCAAGCTGAGGGTTGGATGAAAGTTTTATAGGAAGGAAGTTTGTCAGCATACATGCATGATTTGAAGAGTTTGCCCCTATGGCGTGCCACTGTATTTGTCGCCTCGGCGGGCAGTGGTTGCTTCTAGGTACACTACAGGAGGCCCGTCCTGCGGTGAGAAGGCACAGACGCAGACGGGACAGCGGACGAGTTGCAGCGAATACTGCGCGATGTGAGACGTAGTATGATACATCCTATTTACTTGGAATCTACACATTACGCGCTGCAACTCGGTCTCAAGACTTCTGT